TATATACACCGAGTGGCCAAAAAATTAGAGACACCCCTTATTTGAAAGTAAATCAGTCCGAGAGTGATGTAACAATGCAGAGTTTCTTATATAAGGTATGCTCAGCTTCAGATGACGTTGTTATCATGGAAGTTAACATCAAATGGGTAAGACAAAAGATTTAAGTGACTTTGAACGAGGGATGATCATCATGGCAAGAAGAGCATTGGTGTCAGCATCTCTGAAATGACAACTCATTTAGGATTTTCTCGCCCCACAGTATCTCAGGTGTTTAGAGAGTGGCAGTTGAGAAAAAAAACTTCAAGTGATAAGGACAATTCTGGTTGAAAAAGGCTGGTGAAAGGAAATTAGCATGCATAGTCTGCATGCTAATTGCCTTCTGTTCTGAATTCAGCTGTAATCTGTCATGTTGTTGCCCTTCTGTTGCTGCAGACTATGCAGCAACAGAAGGGCAATGCAGGTGCATCACAAAGCATATCCCAACACACAACAAAACACACTTTGCAAAGGATAGGCTTTAGCAGCAGGAGACCATCAAGAGTGCCTATTGGTATCACAGAAAAATAGGAAAAAGCACCTGTAGTAGGCCTAGGAATGATGAAATTGGTCATTTAAAGGAATTGAAAAAAGTAGCCTGGTCCAATGAATCTTGTTTCCTGCTCCATCATGCAGATGGCAGGATCAGAATATCGTGCAAACAGCACGAATTCATGGACCCCCTCCTACCAAATGACAGCTCTTCAGGCTGGCGGTGGTGGAATTATGGTAAGGGGAATGTTTTCCTGGTGTACACTGGGTCACTTGATATTTGTGGACACATCTCTGAATAGATCAGCTTACCTCAACATCATTACCAATCACATACACTCATTTATGGCTGTAATGTTCCCTTATAAAGACGGTCACTTTCAGTGGGACAATGCGCCTTGTCACTGTGCTCAATTGGTCTCAAATTGGTTTGAAGAACATCAATCATAGTTTAACCTGCTTCCATGGCCAGCTCATTCCCCTGACCTCAATCCCATGGAGCATTTGTGGGACAAAGTGGAAAGTTCACTTTAAAGCTTGGAAACACCACCATCCAACTTAGAGCTGCCATTATGTTTTCATGGGCCAACATTCCTCAGCAATGGTATCAGCAACTTGTTGAGTCAATACCTAGAAGAATATCAGCTGTGATCAGAGCTACAGGTGGACCAACTCGTTATTAGAGGGTGTGTCTAATTTTTTGGTCACTCAGTGTATATACAGGGTGCGTAGGAAAGTCCCTTTAACTGGAAAATTCTTGCAAACAGAGAGAGCTACAGCTATGCAAGTGAGGTAACGGTATAGTAAAGCAACTACGCCTGACCTAATGCAAATGACAGCAGCACCCCTAGTGGTGAAATTTGGAAGATAGGCAGTGCAAATAGAGCAAACTTTTCAATTAGAAAGTTTTAGAGCATCAATTAATTAGTACGAAACAACATGTGGTTCACAAGGATAAGATAAATTGTTGCCTGTATACCCAAAAATGTCCGAAAGCAATGCACGCCATTTTGTGTAATCGTCTGAAAGGAGTAGCCATAAGTATGAAGAAATACGCGCAATTTATTGTATATAATATGTACTTACGTCAATACAGTTTGATAACATCACACAAAAAACAACAGAAAGGCAAACTGTCACACAGTGATAACAAGTTAATGTCCAGTATGTTCGAAAAGTTTGCCATTGCTCACGATACTGCCATTGTTATCAAACTGTATTGATGTAAGTACATATTTTATACAATAAATTGTGTGTATTTCTTCATACTTATAGCTACTCCTTTCAGACGATTACACAAAATGGCGTGTATCGCTTTCGGACATTTTTGGGTATACAGGCGACAATTTATCTTATCCTTGTGAACCAATGTCGTTTCGTACTAATTAATTGATGCACTTTCTAATTGGAAAGTTTGCTCTATGTGTTTTCATTTTCTATTTGCACTGCCTATCTTCCAAATTTCACTACTAGGGGTGCTGCTGTTGTTTGCATTAGGTCAGGCGTAGTTGCTTTACTATACCGTTACCTCACTTGCATAGCTGTAGCTCTCTCCGTTTGCAAGAATTTTCCAGTTAAAGGGACAGTTAAAGGCGAAAATTACACTAGCATTTATAATTAAAGAAAATATTTAATACATTCCACACAAACTACATACTTTTGTTTATTTCTCAACATAATTGTCATGCTGGGATAAATGTCTCAATGTTTATGGCACCAGTTTGAACATCACTTCATGATACTGTTGCTTGAAGTAGTCCAGAACGGTGTCTTGCAATTCCTCCTGATCCACAAAGCATTTCCCCGTCAAAAATTTCTTTAAAAGTCTAAGTAAATGAAAATTCCAGGGGGGGCTAAATCTGGACTATACAGAGGATGTTGCAGGACCTCCCAATTCCACTGTGCCAACTGGTTTGGTTTGATTTGCCGTGTGGAGTATATATATGATAGCTTGTCACCTTACCAAACAACTAGTCACATGGAGATTTTGGGGTTTTCTTCACCTAAATAGGGGCCAGTTTCCCACAGCAAATCCTCTTGGGAGGCATTGCCTTGTCTTTGTCTTATCTCAACAATCCAATCCAAAAATTATAATACAGTAGAGCGTCGTTTATCCGAAAGCATTCCAGTCGGCAAATTTAAATTTTTGCTAGTGCTGTGGCGCTTCAATCTTTGTCTATGTCTTGGGCTACTCAAATATTTTACGTTTTTGATACTAAATTAACATCTGAAGTATAATTTTTTATTGTTTTTATATTTTTCAATAAATTTATTTTGTTTGTACAAAATAAAAAAATAATTTTTAACGATACAATAGTCTTCGTTAGGCTTAACATCGACGAAAATTCAACGCGAAGCGACACGCAACGGAGAGAAATTTCAACATGGGATAAATTAATATATTTTTTCGTACATGATTCGTTATCCGAAAAATAAGTTATCTGAACCACCCCAGTCCCCAATTGATTCGGATAAACGACGCTCTACTGTATTTACTTAAAAAGCCTATTAAAGTTTAATAATTAAATTAAAAAAATATATTAATTTAAACTTTTTGGCAGATTCTTAAAGCAGAATTATTTTTACTAAGGGGGGTCTGACAGAAGATGAAGTTTGGGAAACACTGGAGTAATACATACTCTCTGGGTATTTTTGTACCTAAAGATATGCAACTTTTTAGAATATTTCATTAATTTATGTTTTTCTCTTGGGATTTAAATAAAGACAGACTGTTGATGATAAAAATATTAAAACTGATTAATTACTATAATTTATAAAAATGTTGACAGCATTGTTTACTCAGAGTTGCATTTGGGAAAGTGTGCAAAACAAGAATTCACACAAAGAAGATACACATTAAGGATAAATCCTCTGAAATTTTTGAAATATGTAATGAATTGAAAAATTGTATAGGTTGGTTATTTCAATTATAAAAAACTAATTTATTGATATTAGATATTTTTAAACAGTTAAATAAAATTTGTAGAGAGAGTTTTTAGGTACCATGCAAAAAAATCAACTGAAAGCTACTTATATAATAGAAATGTAAATAATATACACCATTTGCTGATCTTTTTCATAGAGATTAAATTCATTTACGGTTTTTCAAACCATGCACAAATGTATTGAGTGAGTTTATTTTCATTTTGACATGTGTAATAACACTAATAAATGTTTTATTACATTATAAGATTGTACTATTTTTAAAATCATTCAAAATTTGAGTGAATAAATTGTGATCCCATTGAATTTTTTGCTTTATTGGCTGTTATACATCAGAAGGAAAGTATTGTAATCAGTCTGATTTTAGCCTTTTGGATTTTTTGCATTTCTTGATATTTTAAGATCCTGATTCCAAAAATAAAAAAAGATACAAAATTATGTGCATGATCCTGTATTTTGCTTTAAACCTCAGAACACTATTGACCAAAATTTTTGAATTTTAGCAGGAATATTTTACATTGATCTAATTAATTTTGATTATTATAAATCAAGGCAGAGGGAAGGTCAGACTAAAATTTGTAATTGTTAACAATGAGTAAAATTTTCATTAAGAACTCATCCCCACCATCAAAAATAAGGCTTTTACCTTTTATAATAATTAGTATAAAAAGATATTTTAAAATAAATTCACTTAACAAATGTTACCCCACACAATTTTCCTCCTAACCTCCCATTTGAGTGCCAGGAAAAATTACAATTGAACTTCTAATGATGGCCAGTTTTCAAAATACATACAAATTTTGCAATAATAGCCATTTCTTGTTACTGTGAGTGGCCATCGTTCACAGGTTCAGCCATACCTTATTTAAGGCAGCACCAAGAGCATTGCAAAAAACTTCCAGGAGATTGGGTCAAGTCTCCAGTAAGACATATGAGAGAGAACAATCTGAAATACTGTTAATAATCTAACCTCAATAAAATTTTTTGAAATCTTTTTACTTGTTTTGAACTGCTCATGATTACCATTCAAACTGTTTGAAGGCAGGTATGAAAACGAGTCTAAAATGAAAACAATGCAAAATATGATAAAATTATTAAATAAAATGAAACTATTTAAATTAAAAGTTGATTGTGTAACAAAAAAATTAATTTTCAATTAAAGTTTTTTCATTTATTAATACATTATAAAATGACAAATTTAATAAATAAAAAATAAACTTATTCTAAATATCCTGTTATAAATCCATAACTAAAACTTTGTAAAGGAGAAAGATGAAAACAGCTGTTTTACAGTTGTGGATTAATAACATGATAAATTACTTTTCTATAATAAAATGTCTTATTTTAAATTTTAATAATTCAGTGATTCTAAAAAAATTAGTTTGAATTTTTAACAATAATTTGTTAATTTAATCAATTTTGATTAGGCTATTTATTGCATTGAACATCAGATCCCATACATTTGAACAATTTAGTACTTTTAATTGAATGTTCTATGTAAAATGTTTACTGATAATTTTTTAAAATCACTTTCTCTCATTTTTTTTTGGTTATATACACAATTTCTACTTGGATACATGATATTCAGCACTATCTATCCTATTAAAATATTTAAAATTCTTTGATGGTGTAATAAACCAAATAATTTACCAAATAAATCTCTCAAATACTATTTTTTTATTAAATATAGATATTTTTTCTAATTTATCAGACTGATTACTGATGATTTACGAATGTTCTTATTTATAATTTCATTTAAGTGTGGAATACTTATTTTAGGTGATTTTGCTATGTTACTGAAAGCTGGAATGACAGTAAAACAAGCTTTGTTATATAATGGACTATCTTCCATTCTTTGTTTTGTTGGAATGTTAATAGGAGTTGCTTTAGGTAATGTACAGTCTGCAACATTATGGGTTTTTGCTGGAGCTGCAGGCATGTTTTTGTATATAGCCCTTGTTGACATGGTAAGAATTAAATTATCTCAAATGTAAATGTTAACTTTCACACAGATTAAACATATTATTTTTGTTTCAGCTGCCAGAATTAGGATCCAGTCCAACTCATCCTGGTTCCAACAGTACTTATCTCTTAGCGGTTCAGTTGACAGGCATTTCTTTGGGTATTGTGATCATGCTGATTATAGCAATTTATGAACACGATCTGCAGCACATAGTAAATTGACTGGCGCCGAAACTTTTATCCAACAATGACCGAAGTCTAGAAAGCATTTATTTATGCTACTGCCATAATTTCCAATTGGAAATATCTTTTATATCTTAACCTGCTTATTAATGAATGTGCAATATTATTAAGTCCATTCTTTGGTGCTTCCAGAAGTTTATTTAGTTTGAATCTTTAGTTGGCAATGGACAAGTTTATCTGATTAAATACATTAGCGATCACTTTAACCAGAGTGCCAGAATGATGTTTAAAAGGCAGGGTCTTGTTGCTGCAATGCATCTTTTCACATGGAACAAATTGTATTGATTATAGCCAAAGAAACAGATGATAATGACTATCAACTATTTTTTCAACAGAGATCCAACAAATAATTAACAGTTTTATGATGTTTTTGTGTGCAATTTCTTCAATATAAACTAAGGATGCAGACTTCCTTCCCTCGTGATTTAAAATGAAAATTTCATTAATTTTATTATAATAGCAGAACATTACTTTCTTACATGTGGTGGATCCAATTTCTAAATAATTAAGAAAAAGAAAACCTAAATTATACAGTGATACCTCTGTTTTCATTGATAATCCATCTGAAAATACTAAAAACAATACAAAATTGCTGAAATAGGCTGCTTTTATATTAATGTTAATGGAAATCATTGAAAAATACAAGTGTAACTTCTTCAACTTTGATCATGTTCCTGGCCTTCTTTGAGGGCTGAGGGCTGAGGGCTCCGGAAACTTTCTTTAGTCCTATGCTGGAGCAAAAAGCAAAGGAAAGCGATGAAATTGTTTAGCTAGAGGTGCAGGGTAATAATGCTCACACAACGAGCAGGAAATGCGTGGGTCACCCTTTGTTTTTGCAAAATTTGTAGTGAGGTCATGAGGGCATGCCAATGAAAACTGAGATAAATTTTTCGCAAAAAAATTGAGACAGACAGAGGTATTACTGTATTTCATGCAATCTTATCATTCTCATATGATCCCATTTTTCGATAAAACTGTGATAACAAAGTGTCTGCAAATTAGCATTTCAAGCACTTTTCTTAAATATATATATATACACAATTCTTTTGTGTGTTGGAAGTGCTTTGTTTGGATTCAAACATGCTCAATATTTTTCTGCAGATCTGACCTCAAATTATTGTTACTGTTATTTATTTTTTAGCATATGTTTATTTAAAATATGAAATTTTAATTGTCAATAGATAATTACTAAGTTTTAAAATATTTTCATCATGAATTGAAAATATATAAAACTACTAAAAAAAACAAAATCAAAGTGATGTAGATTTCATTAAATTATATATTTTACATCACTTCTAATAACTAATTTTATATTTTATGAAAAGAAATCAAAATTTATTTTTTTGAAGATGAAATAGTTTTTGATTCCACAAACATTCCTGCATACTAATTTAGATTTTTTGCTATTTCCTTTATATTTTTTGCTAATTCTAGTGAATTTTTTAATTAATGTATTTAGATATAGACTAAGATTAACAATAGATTATTTTATTAGAATTTTGTATAAAGATCTGATTTATCTTTCTTTTGATCTGCAATGAACAATGATGTATTGTTACTATTTGTTTGTATATTCCAGAATTGTAAAACACTAAGATAACTATTTGCCTTCACAATTATTTGTGATGGAAGTTAAAATAAAAAGGTATTCTTGATGATGTGTACTTAGCATTTTTGCAAACAATAATAAAAACTTTTTATGAAAATAGAAAATGGCAACTCTGGCATAATGTTTTTTTTTCTATTAATATTTTAATATTACAAAATGTTTAAATAATACAAAACTTAAAACAGCCATATTTATTCAACTGTTTTGCAGAACTTAAACTGCATTCTCTGCAACAATGTAACTAGAACTGAATTCCTCTTTTTGGTAAAAACAGTGAACTAAGG